CTTCAGTTTGGCAAGTACCAGGGCCGGAGATTTAGATGGCTCCTAGAGAACAGCCTTGGCTATGCACTATATTTAGTGCAGAGCATTTCAAGGGACAAAGAGCATTCAAACCCCCTCTCTGAGAACAAACAGCTGCTCCTGCAATACACGTCTGGCATCAGAGAGTTCACCCAGGAACTGGAGAAATTTGGGAAGAAGCAGGAAATGCAGGCTAAAGCTCTGGAAATTGGAGACCAGGGCTGTGTGATGGTGGATTCAAAACCCCTGACTGAACACTTGGCCCAACGGCAGCTTTTCCTTTCTGGTAAGTATGCACCATCTTGCATACTTTGTCTCTGTGTATTGTTAACAGTAGGTCTAATAGCTTTAATATTTGTTCTCCAGGCCCTGCTGAGGATGATGAGGAGGAGCTAGTATCTGCTTCATCGCCATGTGAAGCACAACTAAATACAGGTGTGGCAGATGACATAAATGCAAATATTGTGAGAATGTTTAGTGACAACACTAACAAGTATTATTTTGTGGAAGATTTCTACGTTTTAAATATATTTTTCTTCACAATACAGAATTAAATCACATCAACCGAGATGCATTCTTTGAGTGCACTTCTTCAAAACCTTAAGGATATACAAAGGTGTCTGTGGGTTTTTGCTTAACTCCGCTCACTTCAGCTTAATTTCGTGCACCCATGTGCTCTAAAACAATCACCGGAATTTTCACAATAACACTGAATGCTCCTCTCACTCACACGGTGGACATTCATTGTTCTAATGATTAGAACAGCAGTCATCACTGTGTCTGTGTGCATGTTTCATATCAGTGGGCATCATTAATACTACTGAATTTATTTTGCATAATTTTCCTTTATTCCATTACATTGCTACTTTTGATTTTAAGGTTGTTTCCTTTTAAACACAGCTGTATTTACTCCATACTCCTTGCATCAAAAAGTGTACACTGGGTTCTTTGCTTCTTAACACTTGTAGTATTTCTGCACTGTGCCTGTTTGTGAGCTGCATTTATGGCATATTACTATCAAACSCAGCAGTTAARCTTYTATTGTTTTGCTGCCTGTTTGCTTAATTTCTCCTTCATTAGCTCTCGCAACCACTGTGGAGCTAGAGGTCAGTGCCGCTCCCCCTCCAGCAGCGATACTTGTCCATCAGCCACCAGCCGAGCTTCCCAYTCACTGGAAGAGTCAGCTTCCGCCTTTCCAGCAGGAGTGGATTCGGCAGACACTGTTCAAGGCCAACCCACGAACCGGCAAGCCAGAGCTAGTGGCCCAGCTAAAGCTTTGGTGGCATCCTCCTCAGCCCCTCCTCATGTACACCCAGCCTCCCGCTTCYCCTGACCACTTCTTCTGTCGGCCGTTGTTCCTGTGGATGCCCCACAAGATGTGGCAGTWTCCCCTCGTCTGTCTTCGTCCAGCCTGTGGCAAGCACAGACTTACAGCAGCAGGGCTGTACAGAACAGTGCGCAAGGTGTTGGACATAGATGGGTGGTATGACCTTGCCACTGAGTACCTGGAGTGCAAASGCTGCTCCAAAAAGTATCCTGCTTGGTCCGAGGATATCCTAGGCCAGCTGGATATGGGTCACCGCAGCCAGTTTCCAGCGTTYCTTACATACAGGTAATTCATAATGAATGTCAACCATTATTAGGTGCTTTTATTTGTGTTATTTTTTTATACATTACACTCTTTCCTCTCCTTAGATACTCATGTGACGCCCGGGTGCTGAGGATGATGAGGGAGAGGACAATGGGCAACAGTGTGACTCAGCTGTACAAAAAGCTGCAGGAACAGCACAGTGAGGCGTGGATGCAGCGTGTCCTGCAGTACCTCACAGCTTGTGAACCGTTCGCAAGGTCCACTGTTGTGCGCCCCCCTGCATTCCCTGAGCCTCCCCTCTTACCTGCCCTTCCCAAGCCTAAGTGGCTGTTGGCCGTGTATGCCAGAGATGTTCTTGGGCGACTTCATGAGGTGAAGGCCAAAATAACCTCCGTCTTTGGCTCTGTCCTCAAGATGGACTCCACAAAAAAGGTATCACAGCCCTGTTTATATCCAGCATTTTGAGTGCATACATGATGAACACAGTTTTTAAACTCTTATCTTTTCTATATAGGTGACAAAGAAACTTGCCGGTGCMGCTGCAGGTACAGCTGCCTGGTGCACCAATGTGGGGAATGAGCACGGTCAGGTTCTTATCTCGGTCCTGACAGCCGGCAAGGGACAAGCACTGGACCCTATGGCAGCTGGCCTAGTGAAGCGGTACAGGGAGGCAGGAGWGGCGCCACCAAAAATCATGTATGTGGACAGAGACTGTTGCAGCCAGCATGGCCCTTGTCGGGTGAAGGCCATGTTTGCGGAGTGGGACGGGCTTCAGGTGCGCCTTGACATCTGGRATTTCATGCGCCGGTTTGCTGCAGGTGTCACAACAGAGGCTCATCCCCTGTATGGCATTTTTATGGCACGTCTGTCCACGTGCATTTTCGGGTGGGATCCGGAGGATGTGGCTGCTCTGCGCCGTGCCAAGGAGGGCGAGCTGGCAGCAGAGGGGATTGGCCACATCTCGGAGGAGGCACTGGCCACWCGCATTACCCGGAGGGAGTTGGCGCTGCACTGCAGGAGGAGGACCAGAGGGGTGGAGGAGACCACCAGACTGATCGGGTCATTGATCAGTCTGMTTGACAGTGCAAGTGGGAAGGACACTCTGGGCGTTCCTCTGCTGGACCACGAACGGATCCAGCAGATATGGCAGGAGCAGCAGAAACACGTGGGCTGTATCCAGGACCCCGAGGACTTCCCACTGTACARCAAGACAGGCACCCTGAAGAAAGGCGGTGTGGAGCTGCCTTGTTACAGGTGTGCCCGTGACTCTACCTCCCTGGAGTCCTTTCACCTCCACCTAAACAGATTTATTCCAGGTATTGCATATGGGTTACTAGTATAATACCTATTTTTTCTCAACATCTGGTTGTAATGACAGCTATTTTTAAGCATAATTCTATTACATGTTACAGATACTTCATAGCATCWCATATGTAGTGAATATCTTGTGTGACAAACGCTTCTTTGTTTATTTAACCTTCAGGAACCAGTGCCAGTGACGCGCATTTCCAGGCGTATCTTGTTGAAGGGCTGATGCGCTGGAACGATGACCGGATGGAGAAAGCCTTAAAAGGAGCACCTTCCATCCGCTGTTATGGCAGTGCTCTGAGTGAGGCAGTGGACCAGCTCAGCCAAAAGTTGCTGGGAAGAGGCTGGGATGAGCGCTATCGCACCCCTGGAGCATACACAGGCAAGAAATTATCCCCCATTCAACATGAAAAAGAACWCCTTAATTAATTTGTTCTTTAATACAACTATTTATTAATCAATTGAACCTTTAATGTATTAAATGCAATATTAAGAATACTTTATTTTTCTGTTTTGGTTTTTAGGTGAATTGCTGGGAATTGAGTACTTGTACAGCCAGACCGGCAAAACTCTGACTCCAGTGCTCCAGAACCCAGAGGAGGAGGACAGGCTGGTGGAGGAAGTCAATGATGAGGATGCACATGATGAGGGGTTTGAAGAACAGGCCATGGAGGACATCACAGTTCCTGTGCTGTATGAGGATGACCCCTGCCGTGYTCTGGAGACGAGTACTCAGGCCTCTCAACCTCAGGCCCCTGCATCACCTGTTGACACCAATATGTCCGACGAGGCTCAGGTAAGACACTTTAATGGCTATTTCAATCCAATCTCAATGACATTTAATTTAACATATATTGCTATTAATCAATTAATTTATTAGGGAGAAGTCATTGGACCGGACAGGATCGCTGGGTGGGACAAAGTCCAGGAACTGGCTATTTACCTGGTGGGTCTCCGTGAGGCTTCTTACCTCACTGAGCTGCAGGTGACCCAGGTCATCCAGCTGTGGACAGCTCTCCCTGATGGCGACAAGGAGCGGGTCGACTACCAGCCTCGTCATCAGCCGCATTTGACAAGTGGCCGCTTTAAGGCTCCTACGCGGTCTGGAGTCACGCCGGGAGTGGAGAGTGTCAAGTGCTGCTTGATTGGACATCCTGGGAGACCCGCTCAGTGGCCCAGCACCAGCCGCTTGGTTGAGGCCATTTGTGTAAGGCTGTGCACTTTGCACAAAACAACCACCAGAAAGGCTGGAGTTTCCACCCCCAGATGGACAAAAATTCTCTGCCATTACCACCACATCCGGGACTTGGTGCTCAACAGTCCAAGGGTTATGGCAGAGACAATGATCCAGCTCTTTGAGKTAAATCAGAGGACACTCATTCAGTGGTAGGTCAGGCACATTATTTACCTCAAATTGACTGAATAATTCTCTGARTAATACTAATGATCTAACACAAATGATCTTCTCTCAGGTTTCAACGGCGGCAGAAAGAACAAGAAATGAGTGTCCTTTCTCAGGGAATGGCTCCAAACAACGTAATTCCTGTCGCGCCTACCCAGCTTCCACCACCTAAGGAGGAACTGGAGCTCCTTCCTCATACATCTGGCCCACCACAACAATTTGCCCTTCTTCTAAATCTGGGAGGACAGGCTCCTGTTCTGGGGCCAGGCCGACAGCCCGCTGCTGCTGCCACCAGGGAGCACCCCGTCACTCCTGTCCCCACAGGACCAGCCACTGCACAGCCCATGTCAGCTCAGTTAGGGACTTTCATCCTAAACCCAGTCACGACTGTGTCACTGGTACTGGCAGCTCCTGGTCCCTCAACCTCCAGTGCAGGCCCAGCTCCGCTTGTTCCTGCTCCTGCTGCTCCTGTGTCCCGGTACACAAAGAGGAACCGGTCCCGGCGGGCTCTTGAGGAGGAGAGTGGAGTCCACAAGCGGAAATACACGAGAAAAGTCACCTACAACACCTGTAGCCAGTGTGGGCAACCCAAGACACAAGAATTTGGGCATAGTCGCCATGGCAGTGCCACATACTGTGCACGTGCCTCACCAGGCAAATCTCTGGAAGAGTGGTTGGCAGAACAGAGAGCAGCAAAATAAGTGGCTAGCTATGTTTTGCTTGTATAAATTGTATATATTGTGTATATTTTATTTTGTGTGCTTGAGTACAGTTCCTTGTATGGTATGTATATAGTTTTTCTGAAGTGTGTGCGTGTGTATGTGCCTGCATGCTCAATACATCCTGTGTTTTCCTGATGAGTGAGTGTGTGCGTGTGTTCATTTCAGTTCTTGTTTATTTTACATCTTGTGTTCAGGTACATTAAATCTGATTGTACCAACATTTAAGACTCAGTCTGTGCATCAACAAAACAGGTCCATATTGTCCCATAGTCTTTTAAGGCACATTTTATTGTTATTATCATTATATAGTATATAGTAGGGTATAAATATAAGTACTTGACTATACAATATACTATCAGTGTAAGAATATGTAGACTGGGTGTGCAGAAGACAATATTATTGTCAGCAGTGTATGTGGTGGTCCCCCTTCCTCTTCACCACATACACAGCACTGTAGTCCAGACTGGAGGGTAGGGGATGTCAGTGGTGGGTTTGAGGGTGGTGCAAAGAGGTGTGTGTTGCAGGAGGTGGTGGTGGTGGGGGACTGTGGGTGATGTGAGG